CTGGATCCCTGGCAGTGCCCAAGGCCAGGCTGGGCAGGGCTGGGAGCACCTGGGACAGTGGGAGGTGTCCCTGCCATGGCAGGGGTGGGATGGGATGACCTCCAAGGTCCCTTCCAGCCCAGAGCAATCTGTGATTCCGTGTGTGGGGCTGATTATGGGGCTGGAGATGCTCCCAAGGGCAGGACACAGCCAGTGCAGGCTGCTGGACCAGCTTGGACAGTTTGCCTTTGGAATCCTGAAGGCAGAATCCACCTCCTGCCCTGGCTCAGAGGGACCAGGAGCCAGCAGGGCTGCCCTGGCTGTGACCTCTGAGCACGGCAGGGCTGTGCCTGCCCTCGGGGCACCCACTGCTCCAGGGCTGTGCCCTGCCTGTCACCCTGCCCTGGCTGACAGCTCTGGTGGCAGCACCGCTCAGGGGCTGGGCAGGAGAGGAGCCTTCTGTCCTGTTTTCAGCCACAGAAGCCTCGGACTGACCCGGGACAAGGACATACCTGTGCTGCCCTGCTCTGTGCCCTGCTGTGCCCACAGCACAGCCTGGGTGATGCCAGCGCGGTGTGGAGGACCTGGCAGGGAGGGCTGGAGCGTGGCTGGGAGCTGCTGTGGCTTGGCTGAAGCCTGTCCTTGCTGTGTCCTTGACATCCCACCCTGTACCCAGCCTGGTTTGGGGTTTGGGTGCCCAGAGCCCTCTGTGTGCCCTCTGGAGGTGCTGTGGCCTGGCTGAAGCCTGTCCTTGCTGTGTCCTTGACATCCCACCCTGTACCCAGCCTGGTTTGGGGTTTGGGTGCCCAGAGCCCTCTGTGTGCCCTCTGGAGGTGCTGTGGCCTGGCTGAAGCCTGTCCTTGCTGCCATCATCCCATCCCACCCTGTACCCAGCCCATTTTGGGGTTTAGGTGCCCTCTGGAGGTGCTGTGGCCTGGCTGAACCCTGTCCTTGTTGCCAGTACCCACCCAGCCCTGTACCCAGCTCAGTTTGGGGTTTGAGTGCCCTCTGTGCCCTCTGGGCTGTGCAGCCCCTTCATGTCCCCCCTGCTGGAGCCACCACGTGTGCCTGAGTCACAGAGAGCAGGAGGGGAGCTGGGGGCTGGGGACAGAGCAGCTCTGTCACCAGAGGTGCTGACACAGGGATCCTGCCCAGCCAGGCGTCGCTGCTGCTGCTGCTCTTGGAGCCCCACAGTGGCTTCCCCCTGCCAGGAGCCAGCCCAGGGACGTGCCAGGGCCTGTGCCAGGGATGGGGTGGTGCCAAGGGGCGGGTGTGGGGCTGGTCCCAGGGCATTGGGAAAGCGCTGGGGTGGGTGGGTGGCTGGGGACACCCAGCCCTGGCAGCTCCCTGTGGGTGCTCCTGTTTGCCAAATGCTTTGTGGGTGCCTGAGCTCACACCCAGGTGGTGTTGGCTGCTGGGGTCCCTTCCCTCCTCTGCCATGCCAGGTGACAGTCTAGGGGGCTGTGTCCCCTGTCCCCAGGCCCCTCCAGCTCCTGGCTGGATGTGCAGCCAAAGCTGCTGGTGGAGGGACAGCCACTCGTGGGTGGCTTTGGTCGCAGAGCTGGAGCACAGAATGCTCTGTGCAGCCCTCAGTGCTGCCTTGTGCTGGCAGGGAATGCTCTGCACAGCCCCCAGCTCCTCGGGGAGGCTTTGCTCAGCCTGGTGGAGGAGCCAGGGGGCGGCTGAGGCGCTTCCTGAGGGTGACACATCAGCCCTGCCAGATGTGAGGGGTCGGGACACCCTCTGGCATGGACAGCATGGGCACCCACCCTCTGCCCAGGCACAGACCCCACTCTTATGTCACCCCCAGGTGTCCCTGTCCCTCTTGCCCCCCTCTTGCCACCAGGGCTACCAGGCAGGGAGCACCCAGCATCCCCCCGCACCCAGAGCATCCTGCTGAGCCTGGGGAGATTTAGTCACCTCTGCTGTTTGACTGCAAGCCTTGTTCCAACCTCTGCAAATAATTGACTTTTGCTTTTCCATGTGCTTAAACCCTCCTTAATTGGCCCTGCTGTTAATCAGGGAAGAATGAGTGACTAAGCTGTCTCGCCTGCCCGGGGAGCAGGGGCTCCTTTTTTCCCATGGACTGAAAGGAAATGAAACCTCAGAATGTCCTTTTCAATCTCAGCTCTCTGCATGGCTGCCCAGAGCCCTGGCCAGGATCACACAGCCTGGGAGACAGGAATTGCAACAGAGGTGCTGTGTGCAGGCCAGGAGGAGAGGCCAAAACCCAGCCTGAGGAATTCTGTGCTGGGATGAATGGGGGTGTCCCATCCTTTGCTGTGAATTTGTTCAGTTTTGGGGGGTTTTGCCCTGGCCTGTGGTTTGCTCCTGTGGCTGGCAGTGCTGGCATCTCCTCAGGGATGGGTTTATCCCTCCCTGGGCAGCATTTTCCTCTGGAGCTGCTCATCCCGTGGGGATTTGCAGCGCCCTGCAGCAAAGCTGCTCCTTGTGCTGCCTTGGCTGCCAGCACAGCTCCAGGCTGGCTCCTGCTGCAGATTCTGGCTCCTGCTGCAGATTTTGGCTCCTGCTGGAGGTTTTGGCTCCTGCTGGAGGTTTTGGCTGCTGCCAGGCTGTGCCAAGCCGGCGTGGGGGCTGTTTTGTCTGGGTTTGTGCCCCCAGCATCGTGCTGGCTCCAGCACTGGGATGCAGAGCCAGGATCCGTCCTCCCCGCGCCCATCGCCGGCGCTCCGGCCAAGCCTGAGCTGTCAGAAATCGTTGGAGGAGACTCAAATTCTTCATTTTTCACAGGCTCTGGGGCAAAGTTGACTGGGGAGTTCAAAGTCGAGGCTGTGTGTGCCAAAAGCAGCTCAGGGGGGAGTTGTTTCTGCAGCTTTGGGATGCTTCAGGATGGGGTTTTGGTGTGCAGAGGGGGTTGGGGCAGGGGTGGGGAGGTGCTGGGTGGATCAGGGTGCCCAAGGGGCTCCTCTGGCCACATTGGGGCTGGAAAAACCCCATTCCTGCTGTTTGGGGTGGGTCTGCAGTGTGCCCCCACCCCCTGCATCCAGGGGCTGCATCCAGGGGCTGCCTGTGGGATGGAGGGGGTCTCCTCCAGTGTAGGGTGCAGGGGGATACCCAGCAGCTCAGGCTCTCCCAGCACCTTGGACTCATCCCAAATTGGAATTTGGGGTGCTGGTGGGGGTCCCTGCCTCAGGTATGGGGGGTCCAGGCTGTCCTTTCCTCTCAGCCCAACCCCAATTCCAGCCCTGCTGCAGCACAGACTAGGATGCCTTTGTGGGATGGCCCTTGTGGGGCACAGTGGGGTCAGGGGGTGTCAGTGATGTTTGGGGTGGGGAATGGGGGGGGAATCACCCCAATCCCAGCCCTGCAGCCCAGGCTGGGAGCCCTTTGTGTGGGACGTCCCTTGTGGGGCACAGTGGGAATTGGGGGGTGTCAGTGGTGTTTGGGGTGGGGAATGGGGGGGAATCACCCCAATCCCAATCCCTGCTACAGCACAGACTGGGAGCCCTTTGTGGGATGGCCCTTGTGGGGCACAGAGGGGTCACGGGGGTGTCAGTGATGTTTGGGGTGGGGAATGGGGGGCTCACCCCAATCCCTGACCTGCAGCCCAGGCTGGGAGCCCTTTGTGTGGGATGTCCCTTGTGGGGCACAGTGGGAATTGGGGGGTGTCAGCGGTGTTTGGGGTGGGGAATGGGGGGCTCACCCCAACCCCAGCCAGCCGGAGCAGGGCCAGGAGCTGCACAAGGCACAGGAAGCCCCAGCACTGCCGGAATCAGCTCAATGTCAGGAATTTCCTGCTGGGGAGAGGAATCCATGAAATTAATGTGAAAGGCCAAAAAAAGAGATCATCCTGACCCTGAATCAGGCTCTGGGCTGCAGGGAGGGCAGGAGGCAGCGGGTTCTGCCTTGGTCCCTGCACCAAAGGCTGTTCTAGCATTGTGGATAAACTAGGACTCTTGAATAATTGATTAATACAATTAAGTAGAAGTTGTTTATTGTTTGTATTATAGATTTTATAAATCTACTCTTCTTCACTGGTGTTTTCATTTTGTTCTTTTGCTTTCTGCCTTCATTTTTTACTGTTTGTGATTGGTTACTGTGTAGGTGTTCTGCAGTCTCCTGTTATTTAGTTCTTGTGATCTTGGTATGCAGTCTCTCAGCTTCTTCGTTGCTATTTTAGTACAGTTGATGTTTTAGTAACTTTGGTGAATTTTAGGGTGCTTTGAGACAATTCTAAGAACAGTTACAGACAGCGTGGCTGGTGCACACTAAGACTTAAGTTGTTTAGATATATTTTTATATTCCAGCAGGCAGGAGGGGACTGGGGAGGGGTCTGGGTGGGCTCTGAGGGGTTCAGACCCCAAACCCACCCCGTGCCTGATGTAGCTGTGCTGTCCCATTGCAGATGTGAAAAGTGAATATTATATAGCCCTACGCAGATATTTACTATATGTATTATGTTGTATTGATTAGTAATGCTGTATTAACATTTTGATAGTATGGTAAATGTAATTTTGTGGTTCAAATGTAACTTTTGTAGTTAAAATAGAAACTATGTATATGGGATATTTTTTTAAGGAAAGGAATGAGGTACTCCCACCGAGATAGCAGCCACAGGACACCTAAATCTTTCAGAGAAAGAGAATTTATTGCTCCATTATCAGAAGAAACTAACTTCTTCCCACCTTGCTCAGCCATGAAGAGCTGTCAGGATTCAGAGGAAGAAGCTGACACTGACCAGACAGAATCCTTTGTTTGAATGGAATTTATGCATCATGTATGAATATGCAACAGGCTATTGCTTTTAAGGGTTAATCCTCTGTTAACGTGAGTCCTTTTTCGGGCTTATTTTGCCCAGAAAGAGGTACCTGGACTGTCCGTACCTCTTTGTTTTTATTGTCTTGTATCATCCTAATTTCAATTTTTATTACTCTAAATTAATACTCTAATTATTACTCTACTCAAATTTTTATTACTCTAATTATATTTCTATTTTTATAACCACTTTATTACTATTAAACTTTGAAAAATGTTAATTTTTTTTGTTGTTTTTCCTGCAGAGAGGACGGGGAAGGTGCTGGGCGAGTTCTGCCGCTGCTACAAGGAGCAGTTTGGGGTCGCTCTCTTCAACAGCGTCCGCTATGAGATCGAGGGCGCGGGGAGCCCACAGGCCCAGCTGCTGCACCGCAAGGTGAGGGCTCATCTCAGATCCCTGTCCTGTCCCTCCCCAGCTCTCTGTCCTTCCCACAGCAGGGTAAGGGCTCCATCCTACCTCCTGTGCTTCCCACTGCAAGGTGAGGGCTCGTCCCAGCTCCCTGTCCCTCCCCAGCTCTCTGTCCTTCCCACAGCAGTGTGAGGGATCATCCCCAGCTCCCTGTCCCTCCCCAGCTCTCTGTCCTTCCCACAGCAGTGTGAGGGATCATCCCCAGCTCCCTGTCCCTCCCCAGCTCTCTGTCCTTCCCACAGCAGTGTGAGGGCTCATCCCAGATCCCTGTCCCTCCCCAGCTCCCTGTGCTTCCCACTGCAAGGTGAGGGCTCGTCCCAGATCCCTGTCCCTCCCCAGCTCCCTGTGCTTCCCACTGCAGGGTGAGGGCTCATCCCAGATCCCTGTCCTGTCCCTCCCCAGCTCTCTGTCCTTCCCACAGCAGGGTAAGGCCTCCATCCCACCTCCCTGTGCTTCCCACAGCAAGGTGAGGGCTCATCCCACATCCCTGTCCCTGTCCCTCCCCAGCTCCCTGTGCTTCCCACTGCAAGGTAAGGCCTCCATCTCCATCCCCAGCTCCCTGTCCTTCTCATGGCAAGGTAAGGGCTCCCTGTCCTTCCCACAGCAAGGTGAAGGCTCATCCCAGCTCCCTGTACTTCCCACCGCAAGGTAAGGCCTCCATCTCCATCCCAGATCCCTGTGCTTCCCACAGCAGGGCAAGGGCTCATCCCCAGCTCCCTGTCCTTCCTTCCACAAGGTAAGGGCTCCATCCCCAGCTCCCTGTCCTTCTCATGGCAAGGTAAGGGCTCTCTGTCCCTCCCACAGCAAGGCAAGGCCTCCATCCCAGCTTCCTGTGCTTCTCACTGCAAGCTGAGGGCTCATCCCAGCTCCTTGTCCTTCCCACCACAGCATAAGGCCACCATCCCCACTTCCCTGTCCTTCCCATGGCAGGGTAAGGGCTCCCTGTCCTTCCCACAGCAAGGTGAAGGCTCATCCCAGCTCCCTGTGCTTCCCACCACAGGCTGAGGGCTCCCTGTGCTTCCCACTGCAGGGTAAGGGCTCCAGGCCTCCATCCCCACCTCCCTGTCTGTCCCACAGAAAGGTTAGGGCTCCTCCCAGCTCCCTGTCCTTCCCACATCAAGGCAAGGCCTCCATCCCCAACTCCCTGTCCTTCTCATGGTAAGGTGAAGGCTCATCCCTGCTCCCTGTGCTTCCCACAGCAAGTTGAGGGCTCCCTGTGCTTCCCACTGCAAGGTAAGGGCTCCATCTCCATCCCCAGCTCCCTGTCCTTCCCACATCAAGGCAAGGCCTCCATCCCCAGCTCCTTGTCCTTCCACAGCAGGGTAAGGCTCCATCCCCACCTCTCTGTGCTTCCCACCACAAGGTAAGGGCTCATCCCAGATCTCTGTCCTTCCCACCACAAGGTAAGGGCTCCCTGTCCTTCCCACAGCAAGGTGAGGGCTCCATCTCCATCCCCAGCTCCCTGTCTTTCCCACAGCCAGACAAGGTAAGGGCTCTTTCCCATCTCTGTGTCCTTCCCACAGCAAGGTAAGGATCCCCAGCTCCCTATCCTTCCTACAGCAAGGCAAGGCCTCCATCCCCAGCTCCCTGTCCCTCCCCAGGCCTGGTAACTGATTCTGGAGTCACTTTAGGGGGGCTCATTCCCCTTTGCGTGAGTCACTGCTGGAGACTCCCCTGAACTGGCACTTCCTTTCTGTCCCCATCCCTGCTGGTGGCCCTAGAGCTCAGGTTCTCCTCGCTCCTGGGTGGAATGTGCCCTGTGCTGCTGGGCCAGCCCATCCTGGGGCCCTGTGCACTGCCTGGGCTGGGTTTGTCCCACCCCATGGAAGAGCACAGAGCAGGGTCAGCTGTGTGCCTGTCTGTGCTCCCTGGCAGAGCTGCAGGAGCTCAGGGACCCCTCAGTGCCCCAATGAGCAGCTGTGCCAGGCACTGTCCTCCTGCTCCTGGGTGTGAGTGCTGCTCCCACCTGGGCACATCCCCAGGGAGGAACAGGAAACCCCTGGCAGGTGATTCCAGAGATGGCTCTGAGACTGATCTGCACCTGAAACACCAGCAAGATACAACAGCAATGAGAATATGGAATAAACACATCTGCCTCTGGCCTCTCCAATAATCCAGAGCTCCTGAAAAATCCTCCCTGACACCCTCTGCCCCTGGCCCTGTGGCAGGGATTTGGGCACCCCAGGGGCTCCCCAGCCCCACAGCCTGGCACACACCTGCCTGTCCCAAATATTTCCTGGGGCTGGGAGGAGCCCCATGGGTGTGAGGGGATGGCTGTGCTGGGACTCCCAGGGTGCTGGTGGCTCCCCAAGGTCCCCAGAGCTGTGTCAGGGCTCAGCCTGGGTTTCATTCCACCAGCAGCTGATCTGCCACGTGTCTCTGCCTGGCTAAAGAGATGGGATTGGTGCTGTGGCTCTGTGGGATTGTGCCTTCCCCTCTTCCCCAAGGCAGATCACCTCAGCTGGGGCTGCTCACAAGCTGACATGGCTTGGGGAGCTCCCTGGGGTGGTTTTCTTGGGGTCCTTCCTGCCCAAGTTGGTGGAGCTGCTGTCCTTGAAAGCAGGAAGAGCTGTGATTGCACATGGCCACAGGCTGCTGCTTTTGTCTGAGGCTTAAACGGGTGACTCTGCTCAGGAATCTGGGCAGTGCCTCCCTGAGCTCAGCCTCCAGCCCTGGCTGCTCACAGGGGCCGTGTCCCTGACCCACCCATGGAGGTGACACCTTGCCCAGGCACCAGGACACGTCCCATCTCCTCAGGGACCTCCCTGGGCCTGGGTGTGTTAGAAAAACAAAGGAGTGGAGGTTCCTGGTGTCCTCAGCACCCTTGGGTGCCTCAGATGCCTTCATCCCCCCCAGGACGTGCCTCCATCCCCAGGTTGGTTGCTTCATCCAAAAGCTCCAGCAAGCAGCCCAGGAATGTCTGAGGGACAGCAGTGAGGTGAGGAGGTCAGGGACACTGCAAGTCTTGGAAAAAACCCCGTGTAGAAATAGGAATTCCTCCTGCTCAGTGTCCTGTCTGCTTCCCAGCCCCTCCTAGGGACACAGCAGTGCCACTGGGACATGTCCCATGTGCTGCCCAGCCTGTCCCAGGGTCCTGGCAGTGCCATTGGGATGTCCCATGTGCTGCCCATGCCTTTCCAGGGTCCTGGCAGTGCCACTGGGACATGTCCCATGTACTGCCCAGCCGCTTCCAGGGTCCTGACAGTGCCACTGGGACATGTCCCATGTACTGCCCATGCCCTCCCAGGGTCCTGGCAGTGCCTGCTGGGGCAGGGTGGGATCCAAGCCCTGGCTGGTCCCTGCTGGAGGCCACCATGGTGCAGGGTGGGTGGCCACAGCAGAAGAGGCGGCTGCTGCACGCTCCAGCCCTCACGAGAGCTCTCAGCTCTTGTTTATGTTCCTGGGGTCATAAAAATTCCTGGGACGAATTGTTGGCTCCCTCAGGCAGGCTGTGTTTGGGATGGTGCAAACGCGAGCTGGGGAGGGGCTGCACAGCCTGGGGGGCACTGGGTGTCCTTGGCCTGGTCCTGGCATGGAATCCTGGCATGGAATCATGGAATGTTTGGGTTGGAAAGGACCTTAGAGCTCATCCCATCCCACCCTTGCCATGGCAGGGACACCTCCCACTGTCCCAGGCTGCTCCCAGCCCTGTCCAGCCTGGCCTTGGGCACTGCCAGGGATCCAGGGGCATCCACAGCTGCTCTGGGCACCCTGTGCCAGGGCCTGCCCACCCTGCCAGGGAACAATTCCTTCCCAAAATCCACTAAAAATCACTGTTCCCAGTGAAGTCCAGAGCATCTGAGCATCTTTTGTGGGGTGACTTTGTGCTTTTCCTCTGCCCTGTCCCATCAGAAGACCCTGCTGGGCAGGGCTTGATGCCTCCCACCTGCAGCTGCCCCTGGCAGGACCTTCTGGCAGCAGTGGCACACATCCTCCCCCTGCCCCAAGGCAGGGAAATTCCAGCTGGGGCTGGGAACAGCTGCTGGAGAGCTCAGCTCCAACCTTCCACTCCGCGAGGGGAGCTGGAGGGGTCAGCTGAGCTCGGTGTGTCCCTGGGGGAGATTCCAGGGACAGAGGTGTGACCAGAGGTGTCACCACCATGTGCTGGATGAGCCACCCCTCAGAGCTTTTCTAGGCCTGTGCCTGTGATGCCCCTCAAAGCATCTCCCAAATGCACCAATTCAGGCACCAAAATTTGTGCTGCTGTGGGAGGTGATGCAGTGGAGACCTTCAGCACGGGCCTGGAGAAGAAACACCCACCCAGACCGCCATGACTGGACCTCACTGAGCTCCCCAGGGCAGAGCTGTCCCCTATTGTCTAGGTTTGAACAGACAGGTGTCTGCTAAGGAAGGCAGGAGCCTCCCTTGAAATGGAAAATGCAAACCTCCTCCCTCTGAATTATTAGAAATTTGAAATTAAGGGGGACCCTCAGGCAAAGGTATGGGAGCAGGAATAACAGTTCTTTACTATAAAAATTAAAATACAAATGAAATAGTATAAAAAAAGAAAACAAACCACTGAATCCAGCCTGCCCCCCTGTGTGTCAGGGAGGTGTCCCAGCCCCATCCCAGGGGGGCTCAGCCCTCCTGCAGTGCCAGCTGTGGCTCTGCTGCAGCAGGGATCCTGCACAAGGGGGGAGTTTTCCTCTGCAGCTCCAGGGCTGCTGCAGATGGGCCTGGGCTCCCTCTGGCCATGCAGGGCAGCAGAAAGCTGCTCCTCTGGCAATGCAGGGGGCAAAGGCTGCTGTGCTGTGCCAGGCTCAGATTGGATCCAGGCAGGAATGCTTGGCTCCTCCCCTGGGCGCAGCATCTCCCCATGGGATGCTGGAATGGGATCAGCCCTGCAGGGACACTCAGTGGCCATGGAGAGCAGAGATCTCCTGGAGGGAGGGTTGGCTGTGGGAGAGAGAAAGAAACAACTGCCCCATGGACAGCAGAGAACTGCCCCAGCTCTGACAGATGGTGACAGAACACACATTGCTTGGCAGTCTAGGACACCTGTGCTGTCCCCTCCCTGCAGGTTCCACTGGAGGACCACGTCATCTACTCAGGCAACATCTTCCAGTACATCGAGGAGAACAAGAAGTGGAGGAACCGCTTCTGCGTGGTGCCCCACAACTACGGGCTGGTCCTCTACGAGAACAAACTGGTGAGGACAGCCCCCCTTTCACCCATCCCCAGCAGGGTCCACCCCAGGGGACACCCCAGGGGACACCCATCCATGACCATTTCTCCTGCTCAGGCCTATGAGCGGGAGCAGCCGCCCCGGGTGTTGGTCAACAGTGCTGGCTACAAGGTCCTCACCTCCGTGGAGCAGTACCTGGAGCTGGTCAACAACAGCCTGCCTGGTGAGGGCCCTTGTGGGGACCTTTGGGTGGGTTTGGGGGTGTGATCCCTGAGGGGCTTCAGAAAAGGTGATTGTGGGGTGTCATATCCTTGGGAACCTTCAGAAAAGGGTGAGTTTGGGGTGCAGCATCCATAAAGCCTTTCTGGAAGGGGCAGATTTGCGGTATAGCATCCCTGGGAACTACTGGAAAAGGTGATTTTGGGGCATAGCATCCCTGAGGGCTTTCAGAAAAGGGTGATTTTGTGGTGTTATATCCCTGGGAACCTTCTAGAAAAGGTGGGTTTGGGGTGTGGCATCTTTAAAAAACTTCTGGAAGGGGCAGATTTGAGGTGTAGCATCCCTGGGAACCTACTGGAAAGGGTGAGTTTGGGGTGTAGCATCCCTGAGGACCTTTTGGAAAACATGGGGTTGGGATGTATCCTTGAAGAGCTTTTAGAAGGGGTAGTTTTGGTGTGGCATTCCTGGGGACCTCTGGGAAGAGGCTGTTTTAGGGTGCAGCATCCCAGGGATGCTGGAAGGGATCATTTTAGGGTGTAGAATCCCTGAGGGCCTTCTGGAAAAAGTGGGGTTTGGGTGTAGCATCCTTGAGGACATTCAGGAATGGGGGTTTTTGGGATATTTTTTTTGGTTTTTGGTTTTTTTTCTGGGCACCTTTGGGAAGTGGTGGTTTTGGGTAGTGGGGTTGTAGGGAAGGAAGGAAGGAAGGAAGGAAGGAAGGAAGGAAGGAAGGAAGGAAGGAAGGAAGGAAGGATAGATGGATAGATAGGAAAGAAATTAATAGGAAGGAAAATAGGAAGGAAAATGTGTCCATGACTCTGTGACAGCCACATGATTTTTAATTACTTTTAATTTTACTTCTCAAATTTCATTTTTATTTCCTTTTGAGAAAAAATGAGGCTTTTTTGGCATTTTTTAACGACTCCCGACAAAGGCCTGGGAAGGAGCTGCAGGGTCTGTGTGTCCCTGCTGGACTCCCCCAACCCTGCAGCCTCCGCATCCCTGCCCGTCCCCCTCTCCCCCTGACACCACCCCCGCTTTCCCACAGGTGTGACACCGAAATCTGGGCACTCTCCCATCCTGAAGTGCCCCACGGATTTCCCCCTGGTGCTGTGGCACCCCTATGCCAGGCACTACTATTTCTGTGTGATGACGGGCAAGGAGCAGGAGAAGTGGCGGGCAGTGTTCCAGGACTGCGTGCGGCACTGCAACAACGGTGGGTGACACCTGGGGACACTGAGCCACCTCCTGCTCCACAGGCACCTGCTGAGGGCTCTGGGAGAGGGGATGGATTGCAGCTCATGAGGAGGAGTTGGGTGGGAGTTGTTGAGGAACTTTGGAGAAGGGAAGTGTAGCCACATTTCACAGAGAAAAGCAAGGCATGATTCTTCCCAAGAATATTTCTGGGTTTCACATTCTCTGAACCCCACATTCTCTGGGTTTCCTTCCTCAGAGAAAGGAAAAACACAGAAATATTCTTGGGAAGAATTATGCCTTGCTTTTCTCTGTGGGATGTGGCTACAGAGAAGGATCCAGGGAGGTCCTGAAGGGGCTCCAGGAGAGCTGGAGAGGGACTGGGGACAAGGGATGGAGGGACAGGACACAGGGAATGGCTCCCACTGCCAGAGGGTAGGGCTGGATGGGATATTGGGAATGAGGAATTGTTCCCTGGCAGGGTGTGATACCCTGGCACAGAGAATCTGTGGCTGCCCCTGGATCCCTGGCAGTGCCCAAGGCCAGGCTGGGAGCACCCTGGGACAGTGGGACATGCCCCTGCCCACAGGAGGGGGTGGGACAGAATGATTTTAAGGTTCCTTTTAACCCAAACCAGTCTGGGATTCCATGAATGAGCATCTCATCAATGCCAGCATCACCCCCAGCTCCCTGGAGCATCCCTGTGCCCAGCTCCATCCTCTGCCCATGAGGAACTATTACCAAGAGCCTGCACAGAGGTGGCTCCAGAGCTGACTTGATGCCCATTTCCCACCCTGAGGGAGAAAATATTTGTTAATTAAAATCACCAAAACCCAAAATCCTCCTGAGGGCTGCCAGGGCTGTGGGCAGGAGTGCAGGGCAGGGGGTGCCAGGCTCTGGGCAAGGGTGCAGGGCTCTGGGCAGGGGTGCAGGGCAGTGCAGCTGGGTGGAGGCAGGACCTGCCTCCCACACCAGTGATACTCTGGCAGGAAAACACGATTTTCCTGCTTGGCTGTGGCCTGGGCACTCCTGGGCTGAGCCCCAAGTCCTGGCCATGCTTGGGATGGTGAGAAATTTCCTGAGGAAGGCGGTGCCAGAGCTGAAACCTGCTCAGAATCAGGTGTTTAGTGGGCATTTTAGACTCTGCCCAGTGTCTAAATGTTTATTTCATTCCTGGGAACTCTGGGTAGCCTCAATTTTGCCTCAGTTTTGCCTCAGTTTTGTCAGAGCTGCTGTGATAGGGTGGGATCTGGAGTCTGGGTTTCACTGAGGGTTTCCATCCCCCCACATTGGATTAAATCTGAAAAAAATCTCCTTTTTATTTTGTGCTGGGGGTGTCTGAGCTCATTGGGCTGAATGTGCCCCCTCCTTTGTGTGGGGCTGGGTGCTGTGGCCCCTCATCCCCTTGAGGATCATTTCTGGGGGAGCTCAGCCCCCCAGAACCCCCCGTGCTGGCTGGAGCAGCAGCTGTGAGCAAAACCAGCTCTGGATAAAAGAGGAATTGATCTCCTGCTAACAAACCCCCAATTTTCATCTCTAATTCCCCTCCCACCTGCTGGGTGCTGCTGTGAGACACAGGGGAGGTGGGAGCCCCTCCACCACCCCCTGTGCCAGCCAGAAAATCCTCTCCTCCCTCTCCTCCTCCTCAGCATGTGATGGAAAAGCCTTCCCAAGTGGGCAGTGGCCAGGGAGGGCTCGGTGCTGCATTCCTCCAGCCTGGATTTGTCTGTGACTTTGTTCTTCCTGCTCCTGGGAGCTCCAGGATCCTGTTTCATATTCCATGAAGGCTCTTTTGTTGTTGGAGAGCACTTTAGGTTGTTGGGTTTTTTTTTTTCTCCCCTAAATTAGAGGCTCTGTTTCTGCCTCTGGTTGTGATTGGTGTGGGAATGTTCAGCTCCCTGTCTCAGACTGTGTTTGTGTAACAGCAGCTCCTCTGTAGGGACTGGGGATGTGCAGCTCTGTTCCTCACACAGACAGGGTCAGCCTGGTGTCCCTGCAGCCCCTGGCTGCTCCAAAACTGTCCCTTGGTGTCACCTGGGGCTGGACAGTGCCCACCCCAAGGGCTCCTGCCCTTGTTTCAGGATGGTTTGAGTTAAAAGGCATCTTAAATCCCATCCCATCCCACCCCTGCCATGGCAGGGACACCTCCCACTGTCCCAGGTGCTCCCAGCCCTGCCCAGCCTGGCCTTGGGCACTGCCAGGGATCCAGGGGCAGCCACAGCTGCTCTGGGCACCCTGTGCCAGGGCCTGCCCACCCTCACAGGGAACAATTCCCAATTCCCAATATCCCATCCATCCCTGCCCTCTGGCAGTGGGAGCCATTCCCTGTGTCCTGTCCCTCCAGGTCCTTTACCCACATTAATGAAGGAAACTCACTAAATTTGCCCTGGGAAGTGGCACAGAGGCTTCTTGCACCAGGACAGGGCACAGGGCTGGGGACAAACTCAGGGATGTCCCCTGCAGGCTCAGCCTGGAGCGAGTGACCTTGGGAAGGCTCTTGGGAGGCAAATCCTGCCCCAGGCCTGGCAGGGACAGGAGGTGAGGATTGTCCCACCTGCTCCCATGGATGGAGCAGCTCCAACCCCTGGAAGCTCAGCCCAGCTCTGGCTCCCATCAAAGACTGAGAAAGGAGCAGATTTTACTTTCTCAGTGGTTTTTTTTCCCCTGATTATTAAGCTGCCCCTTAGCAAAAGCTGCTTAGGCTTGGAGTTAATTGTAATCACCTTAGAAAAATCTGTGTGCACTGGGAAAGATCTGCTCACTGCCCTGGGCTGTCCCTCCTGGACACCTGGCTGTGTCCCCAGCCCTGCCAGGTGCTGTGGGACAGGTCAGCAGTGTCCCCAGCCCTGCCAGGTACTGTGGGATGTGTCAGCAGTGTCCCCAGCCCTGCCAGGTGCTGTGGGACAGGTCAGCAGTGTCCCCAGGCCTGCCAGGTGCTGTGGGACATCTCAGCAGTGTCCCCAGCCCTGCCAGGTGCTGTGGGACAGGTCAGCAGTGTCCCCAGCGCTGCCAGGTGCTGTGGGATGTGTCAGCAGTGTCCCCAGCGCTGCCAGGTGCTGTGGGACAGGTCAGCAGTGTCCCCAGCGCTGCCAGGTGCTGTGGGATGTGTCAGCAGTGTCCCCAGCGCTGCCAGGTGCTGTGGGATGTGTCAGCAGTGTCCCCAGCGCTGCCAGGTGCTGTGGGACAGGTCAGCAGTGTCCCCAGCCCTGCCAGGTACTGTGGGATGTGTCAGCAGTGTCCCCAGCGCTGCCAGGTGCTGTGGGACAGGTCAGCAGTGTCCCCAGCACTGCCAGGTGCTGTGGAAGGTGTCAGCAGTGCAGGGATGATCCCCTCGAGCCTCCCAGCAGGCTCAGATCCCATCCTGATCCCCTCCTTGGGGCATGGGGAGGGGAGCTGGGCTGCAGGGTTCTGTCCCAGGGCTGTTTCCCTGTCTGGCAGGGACCTGCACAGCCAGGACAGGCAGGGACAAGGCAGGGGACATGTGGCACATGTGCCTGCTGTGCCCATCTCCTGGCTGTGGAGGCTCCCAGCCCTGCCCCTCCTGCTGGCTGGGGGTGACGCCCGAGCTCCCCTCGTGCTGCAGTGACTCACCCGGGACAGCCTGGCCCTGACTCACTCCTGAGGCCTCTTGGCCACTTTCCTCTTCCTTCCAAGCCTCGCTGCCCCCCCCCAGGGCCCCTCTGACTGCAGCCCCCCAGCTGGGTGCTGTGTGGGGTTGGGGGTCACTGAATCCCCATCCTGGTGAGCCCCTGCTCCTGCTGTGCCTTTGGAGCTCACTGAGCCCCCATTTCCCCATGCACCATATGGGGTCAGTGAGCCCCCATTTCCCTGTGCATTATTTGAGGTCACTGAGCCCCCAGATCCATGTGCACCATTTTGGGGTCACTGAGCCCCCATCCTCCCCAACCCCTGCTCCTGCTGTGCCTTTGGAGCTCACTGAGCCCCCAGATCCATGTGCACCATTTGGGGTCACTGAGCCCCCATTTCCCCGTGCACCATATGGGGTCAGTGAGCCCCCAGATCCCTGTGCACCATTTTGGGGTCACTGAACCCCCATCCTACCCAACCTCTGTTCTTCTGTGCCTTTGGAACTCATTGAGCCCCCAGGCCCTTGTGTACCATCGAGAGTCCCTGAGCCCCCAGGTCCCTGTGCCCCATTTGGGGGTCACTGAGCCTCCATCCTGCCAAGTTCTTCCTGCTGTGCCTTTAGATCTCACTGAGTCCCCAGGTCCCCATGCACCCTTTGGGGTCAGTGAGCCCCCAGATCCCTGTGCACCATGAGGGGTCACTGAGCCCCCATTTGCCCATGCACCATTTGGGGTCACTGAGCCTCCATGCACCATTTTGGGGTCATGAGACCCCAGGTCCCTGTGCACCATTTGGGGTCACTGAGCCCCCAGACACCCCTGAACAATTTGGGGGTCACTGAGCCCCCATTTCCCTATGCACCATTTTGGGGTCACTGAGCCCCCATCCTACTCAGCTTCCCTGCCCTCGGGGTGGCTCCGGACTGGATCACTCTGGTTATATCAGGAGCCCCCTGCTGTCCCCCACCCTGTCAGGGGCAGTGCCTGGGGACACCATCCCCAATCCTGGTGACAGCCCTGGGGGCTTGCCCGGGTCCGGGGGTGTGGGGGAGCACACAGAGGTGGGCTGGGGTCGCTGGGCCGCCCCTCCCTCCCAATTCCAGGCAGCTGAGCCGTGTCCCCTCCGCAGGGATCTCGGAGGACTCCCGGGTGGAGGCTCCCGCCTTCACGGACGCCATCCGCATGTACCGGCAGTCCAAGGAGCAGTACGGCACCTGGGACATGCTCTGCGGCAACGAGACCCAGGTGGGCACCGCGCCCCCAAACCGGGCTCCCAGGGCTGGGGGGAACTCAGCAGGCTCCCCAAAAACCTCCTGCCTCCACAGGTCCTGAGCAACCTGGTGATGGAGGAGCTGCTCCCCGAGCTCAGGAGCACCATCGGGCCCCGGCTGAAGGGCAAAGCCCCGGAGCGCCAGCGGACCTGGATCCAGGTGTGGGGCTGGGGCTGCCGGGGGGTCCCCAGCGTCCCTGCCCTCCCCATTGCTGCAGAGCTAGCTTGGGGAGCCTCCTTTCCCCCCTGGGTTCGGCGCCCACCTCCCTTCCCCGTCCCTGCCCTCCCCGTGCCCGCACACCCGGCTTGGGGATCCTCCTTCCCCCTGGGCTCGGTGCCCACCTCCCTTCCCCACTGGGTTCTCTGCCCACCTCCTTTCCCCGCTGGGGTCAATGCCCTCCTCCCTTCCCTGCTGGGTTCGGTGCCCACCTCCTTTCCCCACTGGGTTCTCTGCCCACCTCCCTTCCCCGCTGGTTTCGGTGCCCACCTCCCTTCCCCATTGGGCTCGGTGCCCACCGGCTTCTCTGCCCCCTTCTCCCGGCCCCTTCCAAAGAACCCGTCCTTTCTCCAGAGTGGATTTTTCAAGCTCTTTCAGTGCCCCTGCCCAGCCCCGCCTGGGGCCAGCCGAGCAAACAGGAGGAAGCCCAGCCCCGGAGCCAAGCCTGTCCCGGCTAAATTTAGCGAGCCATTTTTAGAGCAGCGCGGGCTAAATCCGGCCCAAACCCTTGCGAAAGACTGAGGGCTCTTCAGAGCTGCCTGTTAAAACCTTAAACCCCGATAATTACCACCAGGCTCGTAATGGGCCGCTTGAGCGGCCTGAAAACACACAAACGCTGCTTTTCCAATAGCGGCTGTGGCTGGGGAGGAGGGAGGAGGGGAGGGCTCTGCATCCTGCCAGCCCCAAAATCGCAGCTTTGGCTGCAAAGTGAGAGTGAAGCCTCAGCGAGTGGCTCCATCCTGCTCAGGAGGTTGGCTCTGGGAGCCCAGGGAGGGAGAACAGGGCAGGGAACAGATTTCAGGGTGGGCTGGGGCTCTCCTGCTTGGACCACCACTGTCCCTGGACCACCAGTGTCCCCAGACCTGCAGCATCCCCAAACCTGCAGCATCCCCAGACCTGCAGCACCCCCAGACTTGCAGCATTCCCAGACCTGCAGCCTCCCCAAGCATCCCCAGACCTGCAGCATTTCCAGACCTGCAACATCCCCTGACCTGCAACATCCCCAGACCTGCAGCATTTCCAGACCTGCAGCATCCCCAGCCCTGTATGGGGCAGGTTGCCTGATGGAGGCAGCACTCACCTCTCTGCCCCTCCAGCACCACTTGGAAGCCTGCACTGCAGGAGCTCCATCTCACCCTGCTGGAGGGTCCCTGGTGTGGAAACCCCTGGCAGGCTGTGGGGAGGGGTCCTGTCAGGGCTCAGCATGTCCTGCGGCCATCTGGAGCTGCAGGCACTGTTTGGGGTGCAGCTGGAGGGTCTCTGACCCCCCCCTGTGCCCCCAGGTGTCAGATGCTGTCTATAGGATGGTCTATGAGCTGGCCAAGGCCCAGTACGATGCAGCTGTGGCCAGATGTGAGCAGGAGCGGCCGCAGCTGGAGAGCACCATCCGCACGGACATGGACCAGATCATCACCTCCAAGGAGCACCTGGCCAGCAAGATCCGAGGTACAGGGGTGCCCTGGCACGTGTGGGTGTGCCCATGGCTCCTGGGGGGCTGTTCCTGGGGTGCAGCACAGCCCCTGGCACCCTTGGGGGGTCATGTCCCCACTGGCATCGTCCCAGGGGTGGGGGACAAGGTGGGCAGTCACCCCCTATAGAGAAACAAGGTGGGCAGTCATCCCCTATAGTAAAAAAAGCTGACCCCTGGGGCAGGGAATGATTAGCATCTGGCTCTGTTGGTTCAGAATGCTGAACATTCACTTTATTTAAACTGTATTATATTACATTATAACTATATTAGAGATATTATATTATGTTATATTACATTATATTATATTATAGTATATTACATTACATTACATTATGCTTACTACTAACTGAAAAACTCGTGACTTGTGAAAAAAAAATCAATATATTATATTATATTATATTATATTATATTATGTCATATCATATCATATCATATTTTACATTACATTACATTACATTACATTACATTACGTTACATTACATTACATTACATTATATTATCTCATACTTGCTACTAACTGAAAAACTCATGACTGTCTGCGGACTGACAGTCCACACAGCTTGGACTTGCTATGCTAATTAACATAATCTCCAACAGAATCTAATTACCCAATTCCTTCAGGTAAACAGTCTTCCCATCACATTCTACACGTGCAAAACACTAGGAGCGGCAAGCAGAGATAAAAATTGTTTTTTCTCTGTGCTTCTCCAGGAGAAAACCTGAGAGAGAGAATTATATCTCTGTTCAGAGAATGTGAATGCCACAACCCCCTGGCATGGCAGTGGGTGGTTCAGGGCAGAGCAGGGGCAGCCTGCAGGAGCTCCTTGTGTTGCTGTGAAAGGGGGAGACTCCTCCTGGAGGGCTTTGGGAGCAGGGGCAGCTCCTCATTGCTGGGGTGGGTGTGGGATGTGATGTGAAGGGCTGGAAGGACAGAGGAGCCTCACCATCCCCATCCCTGCTCTTTCCCAGCCTTTGTCCTGCCCAAGGCAGAGGTGTGTGTCCGTAACCACGTGCAGCCCTACATCTCCTCCATCCTGGAGGCCCTGATGACCCCCACGAGCCAGGGCTTTGCTGAGGCACGGGAGGTGTTCTTCAAGGAGGTCACCGACATGAACATGAACGTGGTCAACGAGGGCGGCCTGGAGAAGCTGGTGGAGGTGAGACCTGGAGGTGCTGGTGGTGCTCCTTGCCAGCTCAGGGGTGACAGGGCCAGTCCTGCTTCCACCCCCAGTGTGGACGGCACTGGGAGAGCCCAGGCTGAGGAGAGTCCACTCATGAGGGGTGGAACGTCCCTGCCCTGAGTGCGTGGAGAGGCTGAGCTTGGCTTTGTCCCCAGTACATGGAGAAGCTCTCCCACCTGGCCTTCCATCCCGTGAAGATGCAGTCCTGCTATGAGAAGATGGACCAGCTGAAACTGGAGGGTCTGCAGCAGCGATTCGATGTCTCCAGCACGTCTGTCTTCAAGCAGAGGGCCCAGATTCACATGAGACAGGTGGGATGTGGATCAGGGTCCTCCCTGGTCCCCCTGGGCTGGGAAGAGAGGTTTGGGGAGCCCAGGTTGGGATGTCTGTGCTGCCTCTTTGGTCTGGAGCCCATGGTGGGCTTGGGCATCCTGGCACAGCTGCCCCTTTGCCACAGAGCCCACTGGCACCAGCAAGGCCAGTGAACCAGTTCTGGGGTCTGATCCAGCCTAACCTGGTGTGGGGTGTAGGGGATGAGCTCTGAGCAACCTCCTCTCCCAACTGCCTTGATCCTGGGAGGTCAGGGATTTGTGCAGAGTGAAGGCTCTTTGCCTGTTGGATATTGGGGAGCAATTCTTCCCTGGCAGCTGTGGCTGCCCCTGGATCCCTGGCAGTGCCCAAGGCCAGGCTGGACAGGGCTGGGAGCACCCTGGGGTAGTGGTAGATGTCCCTGCCCATGGATGAATTCACCCTCTGGATGAATTTAGGGTCCCTTCCACCCCAAACCGGTGCAGGGCTCTGTGCTGTGTCTCACCTCGGTGTGGCATTGCCCCAAGAGCCCCCTGGCCACCCTTTGGATGCCCCCCACGCTGACCGTGTGTCTCTGGCCACAGCAAATGGACGATGCTGTGCACACCTTCGAGACCCTGCTGCACCAGGAGCTGGGCAAGCTGCAGGGCAAGGACGAGCTGTGCAAATCCATCCAGCGCATCCTCGAGAGGGTGCTCAAGGTGAGCTGAAACAGGAGCTTTTCTGAGCTGTCTCATAAGCTTTTGGAGGTCTGTTTCACACCCAAGATAGCTCAGCTACCTTTGGAGGCATAAAATCAGCAGCTTGGCTTCTGGAAACAAAAAGGTTTTAATAAAAGGCAAAATAACAAACTCCTTATAGAAAAAAAACTAATCTAGATGCAAGAGTTCTTGCTCTTGATAAAACACCTCACAAAAGCCATTGGATTCTTTTTTCTCTTCTGTTTCATAAATTGCCCAGGTGGGACTTTTTGGCTCCTGTCCATTAGCTATCCTTAAGTTTGAGGTGAAGTCCCCCACACCTATGAGATGCTTTTTTCACCTAATCCAGGAGAGAAACTTCTGGGCTTCTTTCCTTTTTAAGGGAACAAACAATAGTTTTGTCACTCTGTCAACAAGGGGCACATTCCTACAGTGAGCCAGGGCGTCAGGCCTTTGGTGGCCTTGTTCCAGGGCCAGGGAAGAGGCTAGCAGTGATGTTATCCATTTCAAAATTCTTTAAGGGTTTTCATGGATTTTCTATTTCAAAAGTCTTTTAGGGGTTTCATGGATTTTCTATTTCAAAAGTCTTTTAGGGGTTTCATGGATTTTGCTGGGGGCAGGCCATTGGGAAATCACCTGGAGGAGCCAGGTCCCCTCTGAGCACATCTGTAAAAGCCCCCCAGGGTTCAGACTGGCCCCCAAACCCTCCTGCAGCCAGCAGTGGAGGAGCTGGCTCCTACCCGGGCTCAGAAACACTGGGAACAGCTGGAGAGAGGGATGTGAGGCCAGAGGGGTCTGTGTGAATGGGCTGGGGGACAAATCTCAGGAGTTTGTGCCCATGGGCAGGGGCTGCCAGCCCACAGCCCTGGGTGACCTGGGGCACCTCTCACCCTGCAGAAATTCGACTATGACAGCAGCACTGTGAGGAAGAAGTTCTTCAGGGAGGCCCTACTGCAGATCACCATCCCCTTCCTGCTGAAAAAGCTGGCACCCACCTGCAAGGGGGTAAGAGGGGAAGGTTTGGGGTGCAGGGAAGGACTGTCCATCCCTATGGAGGGGCTGGAGCATCCATCCAGCCCAAACTGCTGGGCTGAGCCACCTCTCCCCTGGCAGGAATTAGCCAAGTTTCAGGAGCTGATCTTCGAGGACTTTGCCAGCTTCATCCTGGTGGAGAACACCTACGAGGAGGTGGTGCTGCAGTCAGTGATGAAAGACATCATGCAAGGTAGGGTTCTGTGGCACCTGCCGAGGAGGGGGTGACCCCTGCAGGGTCCTGTGGCACCTGGAGAGGAGGGGGTGACGTCTGCATGGTACTGGGGGCTGTGTGAGGACAGGGTGACCTCTGCAGGGTGCTGGGGCTGTGTGAGGAGGGGGTGACCCCTGAAGGGTGCTGGGGGCTCTGTGAGGACAGGGTGACCTCTGCAGGATTTTGGGGGCTGTACAGGGTTTTGGGGACACACTATGACAGGGGCTGGATAAGGAGGAGTGTTCCCATGCAGAGCCAGCTGGGGGATGTACCAGGAGGGGCAACTCCATGCTGGGAGCTGTATAAGGAGGGGGTGACCCCATGTGGGGTGCTGGGGGCTGTATGAATAAGGGGTGACCCTCTGCAGGGTGCTGGGGGGTCTCTGATGAGAGGTGATCCCATTTAGGGGATCAGCTCAGGGCTGTATGAGGTGAAGTGACCCCATATAGGGTGTTGGGGGCTGTATGTGGAGACCCTCTATGTGACCCTCTGCAGGGTGCTGGGGGGGTCCCTGATTCCATTCAGGGGATCAGCTCAGGGCTGTACAAGGTGGAGTGACCCCATACAGGGTATTGGGGACTCTGTAAGGAGGGGTGATCCCATACAGGGTGCTGGGGCTCTGTAAGAAGGGATGACCCTGTGCAGGTTGCTGGGGACTCTATAAATAGGAGTGACCCCATACAGGGTGTTGGGGACTCTGTAAGGAGGGCTGACCCCATACAGTGTGCTGGGGCTCTGTAAGGAGGGCTGACCCCATACAGTGTGCTGAGGTCTCCCCCAGAAGCAGCTTTCCCACCTGGCTGACCCCTGGCAGGGCTGAGCAGAGGGTGGGATGCTGCCCCCCTGCCCAGCTCCAGCCACCTCTCCCAGCACCCCGGGGAGGACTGGCCGAGGTGCCCCAGCCTGGCAGTGCCCGCAGCCCCCTGAGCTGTCCCTCCGTGTCCCCAGCTGTGAAGGAAGCGGCCGTGCAGCGCAAGCACAACCTGTACAGGGACAGCATGGTGATGCACAACAGCGATCCCAACCTGCACCTGCTGGGAGAGGGCCTGCCCATCGACTGGAGCGAGGAGTACAGCGGGCAGCCCGAGGAGCCGGCGGCCGAGCGGCGCCGCAGGGCCAAGCAGGTGGTGTCGGTCATCCAGGACGACGAGGGGGCCCTGCCCTATGGGGCTGAGGCCCTGCTGCAGCCCGGCTCTCCTGAGGCAGGGCAGGCAGAGCAGGCACGGCCCGGGGTGCCCCCCAGCCCCCCGGATGCGGTGCAGGAGATCCGGGAGGCGCTGGCACAGCAGAGCCTGGAGGATGGCGCCAGGCTGGAGGAGCGGCTGATGAACGGCACCGAGGGCAGCGGGGCCAGCGAGGAGGGCGTGCTGCTGGCAGGGGGTGCCACACAGCAGGGCCCAGCCCGGGATGGGGACGGGGTGAGCTGTGCCACAGCGGCAGCACCAGCACCTGGAGCTGAGATCCCATCAGGAATGGGCAGAGAACGTGTCACACCAGCGTCCTCACCTGTCCCTGGAGCTGAGGTGTCATCAGGGGGACAGCATGTCACACCAGCGTCCTCACCTGTCCCTGGAGCTGAGGTGTCATCAGGGGGACAGCATGTCACACCAGCATCCTCACCTGTCCCTGGAGCTGAGGTCCCGTCAGGAGCTGGGACACGCCGGCCTGCACCAGCACCCCCTGTGCCTGGAGCTGAGGTGTCATCAGGGGGGCAGTGTGCCACACCAGCACTGTCACCTGTCCCTGGAGCTGAGGTCCCATCAGGGACTGGGAGATGTCCTGCACCAGCATCCCCTGTGCCCAGAGCTGATGTCCCAGCAGAGGCTGAGGTGCCCCATGTCACACCAAGGTCATCCGTGCCAGCTTCCCCCGTGTCTGCAGCTGATGTCCCATCAGGGGCTGAGGTGCCACACGTCACTCCAAGATCTTCCATCCCAGCATCTGTGACCAGAGCTGACGTCCCATCAGAGGCTGAGGTGCCACATGTCACACCAAGGTCATCCGTGCCAGCATCCCCTGTGCCCAGGGCTGATGTCCCATCAGTGCCCAGCGTGCCACACGGCACAGCAGCCCCGGCCAGCCCCCGAGCCGGTGTCACAGCAGAGGCTGAGGTGCCCCGTGTCCCAGCAGAGGCTGAGGTGTCCCATGTCACAGCAGAGGCCGAGGTGCCCCCTGTCACAGCAGCACCCCTCGGAGGGCACAGCCCATCAGCAGCGCGTCACCAGCACGGTGACAAGGAGCCAGGAGAGCCCAGGGGCACCACAGAGAGCGGTGAGGGGGTGCAGACTGAGTTCTAGCCCCAGCCCCTGCCATGGACTGGCCCCGGTGACACTGGGGCTGGGGGAGGGGGACAGGACCCCCGGGATGGAGAGCAGCACTGTGGGAGAGGGAGGGGACGGGGACACCCAGACCTTACTGCCTAAGGGGGTCCCACTGCCACAGCCCCATGGGTCTGACTGGGGTGGCCCCAGCCTGGCTTGGGGCATCCCCTGCACTCTGCTCTGTCCTTCTTCTGCCTTATTTTCTTTCTACTGAGGAGATGCTTTACTGAAGAGCTTTATCTGCCCCCCACACCAGTGCCTGGGGCTGCTGGGGGGGCTGGCACTAGCCCTGCTGAGGGAGGGTGTATGGGACACTCCTGGCTGTCCCCAGGGTTGTCCCTTCCCCAGTCTGGGGTGTTTCCTCAGAGCCTGCCCACTGCCACCCATCCATGGGGGTTTCTGGGAGCCTGCCCACTGCCATCCCCACCTGGCCAGCTCCAGGAGTGCCAGTGGGAGCAGGAACTGCAGGGACAAATTGCTGTCCCTGATGGCAAACAGGGACCTGACAGGGACAGCAATGCTGGGGAGCTTGAGCCACTACTGAGGAAGAAAGTGCTGGGACAGGCATGGGCTGCTGGTGCCCAGGCTGGGCTCACAGCATCCAGCCAGAGCTCTCAGCATCCAAGCTGGGCTTGCAGCTTCCAGACTGAGCTCAGAGCATCCAGACTGGGCTCCTGGTACCCAGGCTGGGCTCACAGCACCCACCCCCGGCCACCCTCACCCCTAGGAGCTATTTCAGGAGCTATTTTAAGTTCAGAGTTCAGTCTCTGGGGAAGGTGGCACTCAGGCCGTGTCCCAGCTGTGCCTGGCAGGACAGGGAAGGTGGCACTCAGGCCGTGTCCCAGCTGTGCCTGGCAGGACAGGGAAGGTGGCACTCAGGCTGTGTCCCAGCTGTGCCTGGCAGCACTGGGATAATTCCAGGCTCAGCTTGCTGTGCAGTGGAGAGATCCCAGCCCTTGCCCTCCACATCTCCTCAGCAGCTCCCATGGATGGTTTCTCCAGTTTTGCAGGTTTTGGCATCTGCTGTGCAGGCTGAGCAAAGAGCAGGGGGTTGCTGACCCCCTCCCATGTGTGATGGGGACAGGAGTGCTGCAGCCCCACACAGTGATGCCAAAGCCCTGGAGGTGCTGGGGGTCTGCAGGACCCCTGAGGGTGACACCTGGAGCAGGGACCAGCACCCCAACACCCACCTGTGCCCAGCCTAACCCACTCAGGGGGGCCCCCAAAGTGTCTTGGGAGGCTCCCCTCAAAGTGCCTTTCTCTGTGAACTTCAAACCTGTCTCTTCCAGGATATTTTATTAAGAAAGTTATACAAATGTTTAAAGATATGCTTATAATAATTAATAAAATGGAAAAGCTTTATTTAAAGCCAGAGGAGCCTCTCCTTATTGCTGAAACACCTCCCTGGGCAGGGCTGGGGATCCCCAGTCCCACTGTGAGACCCAGGGGTGTCACATCCTGAGCCCAGCCAGCAGTGACACAAAGCAGGAGTGGAGCTGAGATGATTTTATTCAAAGGGGTGTCCTGAGGAAGCAGCAAGAGGCACCAGGAGCAGCATTTCCCCCTGGCACAGCCACACCAGAGGCTGCTCCAGCCCCATCCCTGAAGCACAGGAGCGGGGTGGGGGTGGCAGGACCCCCAGTGTCCCCAAAGGCACTGTGTGAAGAGGGGCTTGGTGCAGCTCTGGGCAGGAGGGTCCCTGTCCCCAGCAAGTCACCGGGTCATTCCTGTCCCAGCCAGGATGAACCTCCTTGAAAAGCAGGGAGGGGAGGAAATGCCAGCACTGCCCCCGTCCCTGCTGTCACCACCCGGACAAAGGTCCCTGAGAGCCGGGGGACAGCCACCAGCTGAGTGGCAGCACGGCCATGGGGCTCCCTGTCCCCAGAGCAGGGCCCCAGCAAGTCCTTGGGGTTCTGTGTCCCACAGAGCACGGGGACAGAGACAGAAGTGACAGCAGCTATTCCAGACAAAGGAGCAGAAGGTGGGACACGTGTGCCACCACCCTGGGGGGCTCTAGCCCCGGCCCAGCAGAGGGTACACCATGAAGTAGCCCAGGGTGGAGCCTGCAATGGCCCCCAGGAAGATCCAGGCGTTGTAGGACATGACTGCCAGCATCACCATATAGCCCAGCACCACCTGCAGCACGTGGAACAGCGTCTGGGCCACGTGGAACCAGAACCACCTGGGCAAGGAGAGGGGAAATGCCATCAGTGAGGGCTGGGACAGCTGGAATCACCTCCCACCAGGAGCCTGGAGAGGCCAGAGGGGGTCTGGGCAGCAGGGAGAGGGGTGGGGGCCACAAACAGCAGCTCAGGGGGAAATCCTGCTCCAGAATCAATGGGGCTGGCAGGAAGAGCAGCCTCAGGAATGACCTGGGATTAAATACAAGAGGAAAAACCTAGGGCTTGGCTCCAATGGAAGGAACTGCCAGGGCCTTGTGGGGACTGAGTTGCTGCTTGTGCCCATCCCCGAACCAGCAGGACCCTCCTGCACCCTGCACAACCACCCCTGGAGGGGAACATGAGCCTCTAGCCACCACCCTGGACACCTCCCAGGGGATCTGGAGGGGCTGGGCTGCCCTAGGCTGTACACAGCCCTCCTCCCTTGCACCCTACAGCTCCTCCTCACAGACCTTCTCCCCTCTGGTTGTGGAGCCACAGAGCCATCCCTGTCCTGCCTGGTAGGTGCCAGGGGTCCCTGGGTACCTGCCCTGTGCAGGGTCTGGAGGGGCTGGGCTGCCCCCCAGGCTGTACACAGCCCTCTTCCCTGGCAGCCTACAGCTCCTCCTCACAGCCCTTCTCCCCCCTGTGCTGTCCACGGCCCCACAGCTCCATCCCCGAGCCCCCAGGGGGGTGCCAGGGGTCCCTGGGTACCTGCCCTGCGCGGGGTCGCTCTGTTCCTCCTCCTGGGGCTCGGTCAGGGCCTCGTGGCTGAGGCTGCGGGGCAGGGCCAGCAGCGCCCGCCGCAGCAGCACGGCCTTGCCCATCTTCACAGCCTCATAGAGCACAGAGAGCAGCAGGATCACCAGCACCGAGAGCACCATGCCTGCAGGAGAGACACCCCAACACTGCCATGGGATCACCAGCACTGAGAGCACCATGCCTGCACAAGAGACACCCCAATGTTGCAGACATCTTTTAATGAAAATCCTTTCCTTAGGATTTTTCTTCCTGAGCAGCTGAGAGGCCTCGGGAATAAAATGTAAACAATGATTATCTGCTGCTGTGGAATGCAACAGGTGCATCTGTGATTGGTCTCATGTGGTTGTTTCTAATTAATGGCCAATCACAGCACAGCTGGCTCAGACTCTCTGTCCAAGCCACAAACCTTTGTTGATTCATTCTTTTCAATTCTTAGCTTAGCCAGCCTTCTGAGATGAACCTTTTCTTCTATTCTTTTAGTGTAGTTTTAATTTAATATATATCTTAAAATAATAAATCAAGACTTCTAAAATATGGAGTCAGATCTACATCTCTTCCCTCATCCTAAGACCTCTGTGACCACCGTCACACCCCAACACTGCCATGGGATCGCCAGCACTGAGAGCACCATCCCTGCAGGAGAGACACCCCAACACTGCCATGGTCCCTGCAGGAGAGACACCCCAACACTGCCCATGCACGGGGAGAGTTCTGGGGGTGACAGGGACACAGCAGGGCCTGGCATGGGGGGTTTGGGAATATCTATGGGGGAATGTGGGGGGCTCCTGGCACCGCGCTGGGCAGCAGGGTTGTTAAATGTCAGGAAACTGTGTGTTTAGCTTTTTAACTCACAGAATTAGGTTGGGAAAGCTGTTTGAGATCATTAAGGCCAACCTGTGAGCTCACCCAACAGCACTTTGTCACCCAGACCATGGCACTGAATGCCCAATCCAGTCCCTCCTCAAACACCTCCAGGGACAGTGACTCCTCCCTGGGCAGCCCCTTCCAATGAAGAAATTTCTCCTAGATTCTTAATTTAGGAAATTGGAGAATAAACTAAACCTAAACTTCTCCTGGCTCAGCTGAAGGCTGTGCCCTCTTGTCCTAGAGGGCTGCTGTGAAACTAATACACAGCTTTGCACTGACTCCACAATGAACATGGGAGCTAAAATATGATGTTGGGAGAAAAAACAGAATCAGAAGGTGTGGAAGTGGGAAGCTGAGCCATTCCTGAGTGATCTGGGGGGTGGCAGGCTGAGGGGGGCCTCACACAGCTCCCTGCCTGCTGCTCTCAGCTTGGGAGGATCAAGCCCTGCCTGGGGAATGCCCAGAGCACTGCACAGATCAGCTGAGAGGGGCAGGTCCTGCCAAAAACTGCTCTGGGAGCCCACAGAGCTCTGCAGGGAGGGGATGGAGGGATGGGGATGGAGGGATGGATGGAAGGATGAAGGAACAGGGATGGAAGGATGAAGGAAAGGGATGGAAGGATGGAAGGAAAGGGATGGAAGGATGGAAGGATGGATGGATGGATGGATGGGGTTGGACGGGATAGACAGGGATGGATGGAGGGATGGATGGATAGTGTCGGATGGATATGGACAGATGGATGGAAGGATGAAGGAACAGGGATGGATGGATGGATGGATGGATGGATGGATGGATGGAAGGAAGGATGAAGGAACAGGGATGGAGGGACAGGGATGGATGGATGGATGGATGGATGGATGGATGGATGGATGGATGGATGGATGAAGGAACAGGGATGGAGGGACAGGGATGGATGGATGGATGGATGGATGGATGGATGGATGGATGGATGGATGGAAGGAAGGATGAAGGAACAGGGATGGAGGGACAGGGATGGATGGATGGATGGATGGATGGATGGATGGATGGATGGATGAAGGAACAGGGATGGAGGGACAGGGATGGATGGATGGATGGATGGATGGATGTCCCAGGGCTGGCAGCCTACCTGTGGGGCTGTGGACATTCCAGAAGTCGAAGAGCAGCACGACTGTGTCCGAGAAGTAGAAGGTCATCTGGAACAGAGGCCAGGGAAGGGCAGGGCAGAGCCCTGGGGGTGATGGGTGCCCACACTGCCAGCAGGCCCTGCACCCCCACCCTGCCCTGCTCAGCTGGGGAGTCCCCAAATGGTGCAAGGTTCTCCCCAGCTGTGAAACGGGAAGAGGAACTTGCACAGACAATCACAGTCACGCTGAGCTGTGATTGTCCTGTGAGCTCCAGCAGGACAATTCCCACACCCAGCAGCAGCTCCTGTGTCTGGGCTGTGACAAAAAGCCAGTTTACCCCTGTGACAATGAGAGACAAATCCAGGACTTCATCCACATGGATTTGAGGAGGGAAGGTCCCTGGGGACAGGTGGAGGCTGAGGGGAAGCTGGTGGGCAGAGCCTCTTCTCCCCTCCCAGGGCACTGAAACCTCCTGCACTGCCAGGACACCCAAAAACCCAACCACCAAGGCACCCAGAGCCACAAGTGTGACCACCCAACAACAGGGACCAGGTCCAGGGGTGCCTCCCTGGCAGAGGAGCATCAATCCCAACACTGCCAGGACGTGCAAAGGCAGCACCCCTCCTCCTTCACCCTGTGAAACAGGAGCAGCAGGAATTGCTCTTGTGTAACATCAGCTGCAGAGCTCACACAGCTGCCCCATCTTGCTGCAAAGGTGGAATTTTGCTGGGTTTTTCGTGCTCCCTTTGGTGAACCTCCCTAGGAGGTGTTTGTGGAGCTCACAGCTGCTCCTCTCCTGCACAGATCCGTGTTTGGCTGCTCTTTCCTGCCTTTTCCAACACCAGCAGAGGTGACTGACAGGAGCAGGACCAGCCTCAGCCAGAAATACCATCCAACAGCCCGTGGGTGTTCAGGCCACAGCCCAGCTCCAATTACAGCCCTCGGCCCTCCTTACCACAGCACATTAGCACATGTAATTAGCTCACCCTTTTAAGCCTCCTTTGGCCACAGATTAATGATAATTAGCCTTTAAATGAAACTATTTCTCCTTCACAAGCTTCACCCACAGGTGGTAGAAGGAGTAGGTGAGTGCTTTAGGGATGGGGGACAGAAGTGATGGGCAGAATCAGAGTCATTAACTTTGGAAAAGCTACCGAATATAATGAAATCCAAATATTACCCCAGCATGCCAAGGCCTCCACTAAACCCAAGTGCCACCTCTCTGTGTTTTCTGAACAATTCCAGGCATGGTGATTCCACCCTTTCCCTGGGCAGCCTATTCCAGAGATCTACAACATCCCTCTGTTGCCCCAGCCTGAGGTGAAGCCACATGTTTTTGGGGTGCCCAGCATGGGTGTGACACCAAAATAATGATCCTTGGGCCAACAGCGATGCCACAGAGAGATTTCTCGGTGGGTGAAGGTCAAGAGGCCAAAATCCTAAAAACCCCTGCGTCCTTCCCAACGGGGAAGAGCCACCACCAGCAGGGAAATGTCCCAGGGTGTTGAGGGATGCTGTTCAGAGGGAGGGGATCCTGTCCTCCCCCACCTGCCCTGCAGCAGGGATTGGATTGAGCAGGTGAGGCTGCACCCAGCTCCTCCCCCGCAGGAATTCACACCGGGAACAAAAACTTGTTGGGAAATCTCCTGAGCTCAAGGTGCATTTAGGGCAGGAGCTGCTGCACTTTTGGGGTTGTTCTAGCAAAACCAGTGGTGCCTGCACAGAGCAGGGCCAGGCTGCATCCCAGCCTGCTGCTCCAGCCCAACTGGGATGTCTGATCCCACATTTTGGATAAAGCTGCAGCAACCTGACCCAATCGGGACAGCCCCAGCTGCAGCCCCACACTGGGGACACACTGGTTACGAGAATGTCCCCAGAGTGGAATACTCCTCAAGACTGTGTCACCCTCCAGGCCTTGCTGCTTCAGGGGGCTGGGAGCCCTAAACATGAAATAGAACCATGGAATGGTTTGGGTTATAAGGGATCCTAAAGTTCATTTTGTCCCAGCCCTGCCATGGGCAGGGACACCTTCCACCATCCCAGGCTGCTCCAAGCCCTGTCCAACCCGACCCTGGACACTTACAGGGAGATTTAAGGAGTTATAGGGGGATTCATGGGGTTCCAGAGGGAATTCATGGGGTTCCAGATGGGGATTCATATAGTCCCGGGGGGGATTAGGGGCTTCCAGGATTATTTATGGGGTTCCAGGGGGGGAATCACGGGGTTTCAGGGCAGATTTCCAGGGTTCCAGGGTGGAGTCATGGATCTCCAAAGATTTATGGGGTTCCAGGGTGGAATCTTGGGGTTCCAGGGGCGGTTCACGGGGTTACAGAGGGGATTTAAGGGGATCCAAGGGGATTCATGGGGTTCCAGGGTGGATTCATGGGGTTTCAGGGGGATTTAAGGGGTTCCAGGCAGGAATTCATGGGATTCCAGGGTGGAATCATAGGGTTATAAAGGGGATTTAAGGAGATCCAAGGGGATTCACGGGGTTCGAGGGTGGAATCACGGGGATCCAGGGTGGAATCACGAAGTTGCAGAGGCGATTTAAGGGGTTCCGGGATGGATTCATGGGGATCCAGGGTGGAATAGGGGAATCCAGAGGGATTCACGGGGTTCCAGGAGGGATTCACGGCATTCCAGAGGGATTTCTGGTGTTTCAGAGGGGATTTAAGGGGATCCAGGGGGGAATCACGGGCTTCCAGGGTGGATTTAAGGGGTTCCGGGTTGGAATCACGGTGTTCCGTGGGGATTTCCGGGGTTCCAGGAAGGTCTCCCGGTGCCGGCAGTGCCGTGCCCGTCCCGTCCCGGGGCTCACCTGCATGGTGGCGGCGGCAGCGGGCGCGGGGCCCGGCCCGTTCTCCCCCGGGGCCGCTGTCCCAGCGCTGTCACACCGATATCGCGGCGCTGTCCCGGCGTTGTCACGGTGTTGTCACACCGATGTCACAGCCTGTCACGGCCTGTCACGGGGATGTGGCGGCGCTGTCGCAGTGCCGTGTCTGGCGCGGGGCTCCCCGGGAGCTGTAGTGCAGGGCGGGCCCAGGCCCGTCCCCTCCTCCCCGCCGCCCTGCCGGGCTCCGCGCTCTGGGTACGGCCCGGCCTGGCCTCTGCGGCTCCGCGGCTCCGCTTTGCCTTCGCTCCCGGCTCCATCCTGAGCTAAGGACCCCAAGGGGTTTTCTGCTGGTCACCCCCGGCACCCTGAAAATGCTGAGAGATTTTTGGGGGTGTGCAGCCTGGAGAGAAGCTCTAGGGAGAGCTCAGAGCCTCTAAAGGGGCTCCAGGAGAGCTGAAGAGGGACTGGGGACAAGGGATGGAGGGACAGACACAGGGAATGGCTCCCACTGCCAGAGGGCAGGGCTGGATGGGATATTGGGAATTGGGAATTGTTCCCTGTGAGGGTGGGCAGGCCCTGGCACAGGGTGCCCAGAGCAGCTGTGGCTGCCCCTGGATCCCTGGCAGTGCCCAAGGCCAGGCTGGGCAGGGCTGGGAGCAGCCTGGGACAGTGGGAGGTGTCCCTGCTATTGGATGGTCTCTAAGTTCTATTCCAACCCAATCCATTTAGGATTCTGTGATTTTATTTTCCCTACAGACAGGCAGGACAAAGGAGGACTTTCCTTCTAGCTGTGACTAGAAGCACACACGTTTGCTCCATGCTGGGACATTCCAACCATCCCTGTTACACCTGGGAACAGAGAGTGCTGAGTTTCCCTCAGTTTCCAAATGCCACCAGGTGCAGATGCCCACGAAGGCACCCAGTGCTGCAGTGCCTGGCTCTACACCACTAAAATCCCTCTCAGTGAGACAGAGACTCAAAACCGAGGCAGGATTTGGGGGGGATTAACATTTTCACCCCTTTGCAGCTCTTGGTGCCTGGCTGGGAGGTGCTGGAGCAGCAGCACACTGGGCTCTCCCAGGCTCACCAGGGCCACTTCCCAGCCCAGTCCTGGGCCATCAATGCTCCAACCATTTGTGCACTTGATCCTGGCAAAGAAAAGCTCCTTTCCTTCCCCTTTTCCCAAGCTGGCACTAGTTTTGCTTCTTTTTTTTTTTTTTTTTTTCTCACAGACAGTTCCCAGCAATTATAATTCTCAAACCTTCCCCAAGCAGTCATTAAATCAGCACCTTCTCATATATAATATATACATATATAATATATTTATAATTTATAGAGAAATGACTTCTGTAAACAATATTCCTCTGCTCCAGAAGGAAATGGAGTCCAGGGCATAACACAGCTCCAAACACAGCAGCTCTGTGGGGCAGCTGGGAGCCCTGTGCCACCTCCAGCTCCGTTTGTCCCCACTGGGATGGCTCTTGGGTGGGGACAGAACCGGCTGGCTCGGTTTGGGTGGCACCACTTTCAGCTGAAGCAAACTGGTCCGACTGTGAAACCAAACTGGTGCGAGGCGTCGCCGTTGTGGAACACAGCCAGGTCCCGCAGGGGCAGCAGCCACAGCTCCTCCGTGCTGAACTGGAAGATGGTGTCGGCGATGGAGGACTCGTTGTCCAGCTGAAATGACCACCAGGGACAGCTGAGTGCCACCAAACCCCTCAGCTGAGGGCCTGGAGCTCCCTTGGCTCCATCCCCAGCCCCTCCTGGGTTTTCCAGGCTGGTTCCTCCCCCTTGCCACATCCCCAGATCAGGAAGCTCCTTGGGCCAAAGGAATGGATGTTCTCCATCCCCATCCCACCCTGTGCAGCCTCATCTCCCTGCTCCATCCCAAACTGCTGGGCTTCAAACACTCTCCAAAGGAATGGATGTTCTCCATCCCCATCCTACCCTGTGCAGCCTCATCTCCCTGCTCCATCCCAAACTGCTGGGCTTCAAACACTCTCCAAAGGAATGGATGTTCTCCATCCCCATCCTACCCTGTGCAGCCTCATCTCCCTGCTCCATCCCAAACTGCTGGGCTTCAAACACTCTCCAAAGGGCTCTGCCAAATGTTGGGAGCCTTTTGTAGGTGTGATATATGTTATAAAATAATTTGTGCTAAAGGAAATTAAAACCACAGCATTTTGTGTACAGAGCCAGTGTGGGGCAACACGCAGTAATAGGCAAAGTGATAAAAATGGAGATTCAGGTGTCATCAGATGACTGTCTCCAGGGATGGATATTTCAAGGGATTTTTTTCTGTCTGACAAGACCCCAGCAGAAGGCATTTGACAGGCATCATCAGAAGTTTATCCCAGAAAGTTTTCACCTGACAGGATTCCAGCAATTACCCACTGATTCCGAGAAACGTGGCAGCAAGAAAGAAAAAATGCAATAATATGCTAAAATATGCTAAAGAAGAGCCCCTTCCAGAGCCCAAAGACTGTATAAAACAAACCCCTTAGAAATGACATTTGGAAACCCATGGGGGCTTTGGTGCAATAGAGGCCAAATCCTGAGTCTCCCTGACCCTGATCGCCTGGCTCAGACTCGAAATTGCTTGTCGATTTTTCCAAATTTATACTTTGAGAATGTAATAAAGTATTAAATTTAATAAATACTAAATATATTAAAAAATAAAAATATAAACATTATATATTATATACCTTATATAAAATATATATAATATATAATATATAATATATATTATATAAATGTATATTATATAAACTATATATACTTATATAAAATACTATTTTATTATAAAATATATAAATAATTAAAATTAAAAACTAGATTTAAAATTAAATTTAAATAAAAAAATTAAAAAAAATTTTAAATAGACATTTTAAAAATAGACATTAAATATTAATTATTTAATTTATAATTATACTTTAACATAATTATAGTAATAAGTATTATTTATTGTTTATTTAAAATAAATCATTACATATTATTTATTAATTTTAATTATTTATTATAATATTATTATATTTATAATAAAGATAAATAATTAAAATTATCAATACAATAATATTAATATATTATTATAAATAATGATTATAAATAATGATTATAAATAATTTAAAATAATTAAAAAGATGAAAATATAGAAATAAAAATATAGAAATTAATATAATATTTAATATAAAATATAATATATGTTATATATAAATATATATAAAATATAATATATGTTATATATATATAAAATATATACTTTAATATAAAATATTACAAGATAAAAATTAAAAATGAATTAAAAATATGAACTATAAGTAATAGTAAACTATTGTAATAGTTATTTATTATAATTATTAATTATTTTTAATTATAATTAATAACTATTAGGATAATTTATTATTATTTATAATATATTAATTTATTTCTATAGAAATATATAAAAATATATAAATTTTTATATATTTTATATAAATATATATACATTTATATATAAAATTATTAATAAATAATTTATTCATTATGAAATGGGAGCATTCATGTATAACCCGGCCCTAGGGTGCCGGTGGCTCACCAGGCAGCCGTGCAGGCTGGCGCTGTAGCTGTGCTGCCGGGAGTCGCTGAGGAAGCGGATTTCCGTGCGGGGCTGGGGCCGCCGGCGCTGCGGGGCCGCTCTGCACGAGTACGAGACCTGCTGGGCGGCGCGGTGGCTGTGCAGGCGCAGGAAGCGCAGCTGCACCGGGCTGGCCCCCGCGTATTCCAGCTGCGGGGAAAGCCGGTGCGAAAAATGCCTGCTTTAGCATTGGCTTTTCACAAATGTTAAAATGAATAGTGTATGTGTTGTGTTAGAAAGTGATGCTGTAGTCATTTTCTTAAGTAGTGTGTTAAATATAGTTTTAGGTTATAACATAATGTTAAAATAGAAACTATGCTGTGTAAGATACTTTTTCTAAAGAAAGGACTTGCATCGAGATAGCAGCCACAGGACACCTAAATCTTTCAGGGAAAAAGAATTTATTGCTCCATTATCAGAAGAAACAAACTTATTCTTGCCTCGCTCAGCCCTGAAGACACTGTCAGGATTAAGAGGAAGAAGCTGACTCTGACCAGACAGAAATCCTTTGTTTCAATGGATTTATGCATCATGTATGAGATATTTGAATATGCAACAGGCTGTTGTTTTAAAGGGTTCATCCTCTGTATACGTGGGTCCTTTTTTGGGCTTATTTTGCCCAGAAAGAGGTACCTGGACTGTCCATAACTCTTCATTATTATTGTTTCATATTGTCCTAATCCAAATTGTCCAAATTATTATTACTCTAATTATATTGCTATTTTTATAACCATTTTATTACTATTAAACTTTAAAAATTTTAAAAACAAGTGATTGGCGTTTTTCACATCTGGCATGCAGGGGCTGCTTCAGGGGGGCTGTGCTCCCCCAGGGCTAAACCCACCCTGGCAGGGTCCAGCTGCCTGTTCAGCACTGGGGTTCCTCACAGAAGGAATGTCACATCCCTCTGTACACAGCCAGGGGACACGAGTGCTGTCCTGTAGCCATGATACCTTCTGAAAAATCCCTTTGCCAGGATTTTTCTCCTGAGAAGCTGGGAGGCCTCAGGAACAAAATGTAAACAATGGTTATCTGCTGCTGTGGAATGCAACAGGTGCATCTGGGATTGGTCTCATGCAGTTGTTTCTAATTAATCACAGTCAGCTGGCTCGGACTGTCTGGTCAGTCAGAAGATTTTATTATCATTCTTTTCCTTTCTAGCCATCTGATGAAATCCTTTTAGTAGAGATTTAGTATATAATTTTCATTTAATATAATATATATATTATAAAATAATAAATCAGCCTTCTGAAACATGGAGTCAAGATTCTCATCTCTTCCCTCATCCTGGGACCCCTGCAAATTCCCACACTGTCCCAGCACTGCAGGTGGCACTTGGAGACCCCAACCCAGCTCTGTGTCCCCTTGGCTGTTCCAGCCAGGCACTCACCAGGAATCCCCCGGGCAGGGTGCTGAACCACTCAAAGGTGTTCTCAGAGCTGTAGGTGCTCAGCCAGGCCTTGATGGGGACCT